GAAAAGCAAATATTATATGAACTTGATCTTAAATAAAATGCTGGACTTATCACTATGTTTAGTTATGAACAACTACATACTGTTTTGTGTTCCTCATATTAACTTTCTAATTTAAATATTTTAACTGTAATTATGTTTATCATTGTAAAACCTATTGCTTTGTGTATGTATAAATTTGTTGTTTTTACAGGTTGTAAGTTCTACAAATGGAGAGTTAAACACAGATGACCCTACTGCAGGACGTTCAAATGCACCCATCACAGCTCCTACGGAAGTAGAAGTGATGGATGAAACCAAGTATGTATTTATTTTGCTGTTTTAATAACTTTTTGTCCTTAAACTATGCATGTTTGAGATTTATAGTCTTGTAGAATTATTTCAGGAATTTTTTTTTTCAAGGACCAGGTGCATGCAAAACAAATGGTATGCTTAATGTTTTAATCACTAAGTTTAAAACAGTGCGATTTCAGTAAATATTTTAATATACAAAATTAGTTATTTAAGAACTATGATCAGATTCTTATTTAGAATCAACAGCATATTTTTAGCTGCTTATTTTTAGGAGTGTTGATGCATAAAAGTTATTGCTGTACTCTTTTTTTTTCTGTAAGCATATGAATAAATAATTATTAATTTTATATGCTGCATGCATTAATATTAGTTTTAAATTAGTTTTTTGTGACTGTAAATTATAATACTGTTTGGAAAAAAATAAGCATGAAAAACAATGTGATAATTTCAATGTGGGCTGTTTCTGATGATCTCTCTCTCTCTCTCTCTTTTTTTCCTTGTATTTTTTTGTTGTGTGTGTGTATAGCTGCCAGAAAGTGTTGAACATGTGGTGAGTTCCCAAGTGTAGGCAGGCAGAAATAGCTCCGTTGACTGTAATTTGAAAGATTTAGCACCCTATTGTGTTTTTTAAAAACATACCTTTCAACATAGAAATTTTAATTTGTGAAAGTTGTTCAAAAGTATTTGATGTCATTTACATTAGCTCTGAAAAGCAAGAAATAATTGTTTGAGGAGCTCTTTTGCCTGCTGCAACTTTTCTGCTTACGTGACATAGATTTGGGGGCACTTTTTATTTGAGCAGTTGATACACCAACCCTGCTTGTGCTTGTGTTTTTGTTTTTTAACACAGAGGCTATATTTGCTATTTTAAATAGAAAGACAGGCTTTTGCCTTAAGGTTTCATTTTTCCTGTTTGTAATTGTTCAGTACCCATAGCAAACACCCACTTCACCCCAGTAGTATCACTAAGAGTATTTCATTTACTACCTAATTATATTACTACTAAAAACACATGGTATACATTGATAAATTTCATGATAAACTATAGTTAGAGATTGTTATGAAAAATCCTAATCTAAATAGTTCCTGCAGATATTATGAAAAATAACATTCTTCTTAGTTGTAATAATGTCAAATTTAACTATGTTCTGTCATTTGCCTTTAGATATAAATATATATCTAAAATGCTTTTCTCAGTTTCAGGACAATTTTTGAATCAGCCTTGGCGTAAATTAAAAAAAAAAAATGCTTACATTAATAAATTTTGGGACATTCTACTCATATCCAAAAGGAACTTTACATAATTTCCAAAATAACACTCCTTTGCTGGCTGCAAGATAAGGAAACTTGTGGATATTTCTTTTTAAAGAGCAATGATTAAGTATCCATTTAAATCATTGTTTTGACTATAGAATTTATTGGCAGTATGACTTAGTGGATTTTGGGATAGAATTAGTCAGCCACATCATTGTGCATTTTTATGTCAAAAATAAAAACAAACAATTTATGCCTGTTTGTGCAATCCTAAGCAATTATAAAAGTAGGGCGGCAATATGGCAGATTAGAATGCACGTGTCCTTTGCCATTAAATGGGTTGTAGAATCCTACTTCTGCCACTTATTTGTTACCTTCTTCAAGCTTGTTTCTTTTTCTGTTAAATGTGATAAAGTGCTGGTATTTTGTCTGATATGTGGCAGGTACTCAGTAGCTATTATCATCCCTATTTATTTCTCTACTTCCAGCTACCAGTGGCCTTTCTCATCTGTGTTCTTCCCAGGCTTGTGCTTCTTCTATCAGTGTCCTATATATTTTCTTCCATACCCACAGCTCTTCACTGAAACTGATGGTTCTATGTTCACATCCTTCTAGAAACCTGCTTTCAACCAAATCTATTATATTTTTCCATTTATTCATTCAACAGTTTCACTGCTTGGATTTCAGAAATATCAGATACTGCCCTTGCCTTTAAGTTGAGTACACACCAGCAGGGAAGATTGCAGTTGTATTAACATATGTCAGTATACGATAAATACTACGAAAAAGGTATAAAAAACATGTTAGAGCTTGTAAAGAAAATAATTACTTACTGACAGGGTGATCAGAGAATGCATTCTGGAGGTGGCTTTGAAGAATAGCATAGTAATTTATTTAGTTGAGATGGGCATGGGTGTGTACGTTTATGGGTTCAGGTTTCTATATGTAGGCGTTGGAAGATCAGAAAAAAGGAAGTGTTGGGAAGACTCTTCCTAAAGGAAATATTCTCCATCGCTTGGAGCATCAAATCCAGATTGCTTGGCATGGCACCAAGGCCTTTCATACTTTTTATAGTCTGGCTCCTGCCTACCTTTCCCAGCTCTATTTTCCATTCTGAAGCCTATATTCTTTTGGTTCATTTCTGCCATTGATATATGCTACTCTCTTGATCAATTTCCCAATTGCTGAAACTTCTCGAATTTTTTGAAAATAAGGGCTTTTCATCTTCAGATCCCCAATGCCTAAAACAGTATGCCTCAATAATTTATTACTAAATACCTGACTAAATAATGTGGTATATCCATACAATGGACTATTAGTTGACAGGATTAAAAAAAAAAAGAAATAGAAAACGTTATGCTAAGTGAAAGAAGTAGACACAACAGGCCACATATGATTTCATTTATATGAACTATCCAGAACACGCAAATACAGAAAGACGGAAAGTATACAGTGGCTGCCCAAGGCAGGGCAGAGGAGTTTGGGGATGCCCGCTAGTAGTCATTGTGGTTTCTTTATGGGGTGAGGAAAAACGTTTAGAAGTTAGATAGTGGTGATTAAGGCTGCAAAACTATTTGAATGTATTAAAAACCACTGACTTGTATACTTTAAAATGGCAGATTTTATGATATATAATTTATGTCTTAATAAAGCAGTTATTTTTAAAAAATGGATTTCAGTAAAGCTTTACTCCAGAAATCCTCGGAACTTCCCTAACTCTTCACGAGGTAAAAACTCTCTTTAAATGCATAACATTTTGTCTGTCTTTTAATGAAGGTTATTCTAACACTCCGAGAAGTTTATTATTGCATTCCTCATACCCTTTTAGTCTGTGATTAAGAAATGTGAGTACGATTTCCTTTTCTAAATTGCATCTTATGCTGGCTTCTCTACTCTTTTCCACCATTTTATAGGTAGCTAGGAGCCTGCTTAGAATTCTCTTTCAGAATTTATTTCTAACTTTCTCTCTTTCTTACTTATGATTGGTAGAGTTCCCTTTCACCCATCCCATTAATTCAAATATATTCTACAATGGACATTTTAAAGTCTCAACTTTCCTAGAATAGTACCTCATAGGGGGGAATATATAATTTCTAATGATGGAAAATATTCTCTTCCCCCAAGTATAAAGTGGCTCCTAATTAGTAATGAGATTTTGCCTTTTTTACTGTAGTTGAGAATAATTTTTCAAGGCAGTGATTCAAATGATAGCACCCTCATCATTTCTTCCAGGAATTAAAACAGGGCTTCCTTTATTTGAGTTACTGACTTTTTAAGCAGTATGAAATCATCCTTTTTTTTCCCTTTGTTTCTCCTTTTCCCTCTATAACATTTACTGAACAGTTATTGTGTGTTTGGTAATATGATAGTTATGAAGAGACATCAAGGCCCTTATGTTCCATTAGAGAAGATAGTAAATATACTGATGCTTTCTACCAAGTGGTTCTCTGCTCTGGCTTCATATCATAGTCGTCTGGAGAGTTTTAAAAATATGCCAGTACTTAGGCTGCAGTATCAGAGTTTCTGATTTAATTGGTCTGTGGTGGCGTCTAGTTACCATTATTTTTCACAAGCTTCTAAGGAGCAGCCAGGATTCAGAATTATTAGTCTATTCCAAGGTATTATAGGATACAGTGTTGTTGGAGTTCAGAGACTGGATACTCACTTCTAGCTGTGAAGGTCAGAGAAGTCTTCATGGGTAAGGATACATTTGCACTGGTTCACAAAAATTAGTATGACTTGGCAAAGGAGACAGGTAGAAGGAGTCAGAGAGAAGAGAATGAACAACAGTGTGGAGCAAGGAAAGAATGGGGCAAGTTTGAGGAGTGACTCATGCAGGTATACAATGTGTGAATACTTTACTGGGAACTGGGCTAGGCTGAGCATCCAATTTCAAAGGATCTTCATAGCCAGGTTAAAAAAAAATTGGCATTATCTTTCTCACCACAAGAAAACAGCTATACATTTTAAGCCAAGAAATGGTATAATCAGATTGAACCTTAGGAAAATTAATTTGGCAGCAGTTTTGAGGCTTATGTCACTTCCTGGGGTTCATCAGATTGCAGAAAATCTTCCTTCCTTCCTTCCATAGTTTAGGCTGCCGGGAAAGGAAGCCTAATGGAGAATGAGACTGAGAGGAGAGTGGAAATAGTTGAAACCAAATTGTAAGATCCGTGTGGACCTAACGCCATAGATGCTGGAGAACCATTGCTGAGATTTAAGAGGAAAGAGGCGTGGCCATAGTTTAATGGGAGAAGTTTGGGTAGCAGATTGGAGAGAGGGAAGACTTAGACTGAGAAGTCAGTTAAAAGGCTCTTAGCAATGGTGGAGGCAAGAAGTTCTGATCCAAGCCAGCTCGAGAGGATGGAAACATTTTGAAAGTCATTTCAGACATGAGGGAATAATTACATGTGGATGAAGAAGGAGAAATTGAAGATGAGGATGAATCCTCGGTTCCTAGTTAGAATAGCTATGTGGGTAGTCTTGCTCCTGATCTAAACATTTCTTGCTTAACCAAATAGTTCCTCATTTTTAAAATCAAGCGATCCAGAGATAGGAAATTATGTTTCAGGTATAAATTTTAAGGTGAAAATTTATTTGTCAAAGAATTAAAGATTCGTTGTCATAAATGACATTTTCTGTGTATTCATCAACTCAGATGAGGAGAGGCTAGGTTCTGCAGTCCTCAGTGGGTAGGGTCTGGCAGGTTGCCAACAGTCTCTCAACTAATGGATGAGCCAGTGAATCATTGTAGAAGGGGCAGATAAGAACTTCAGATCTGGACAGAGAAAACATCAGCTTCTGAGCAGATTTGTGAGAAGGAAGTATCTGACAGATCCAGAAGAGCAAACCAAATTCTAGATGAAGAAAAAGGCAATGAGGAAATGATGGTGCAAAGTGTTTTCATAGTTTAGGACTTTGATCCATTACGGTTTCTTGCTTCGTACCTCAAAAATATTGAAAGCAACAACCTTAGAGTTAATCAGAAGCAGGCCTTAACATTTATTCCCAGAGGGTTTGACAGTAGAGATGTGACTTCAGTGCTTTTAGGCGAGCTACCAAAAATGATCGTGTCAGAAGCACAAACTTGACTTATAAGAGCGTATTGGCTAACTGGAACCACATAAGGAATAATCAAGAAAAAGCCAAGGAAAAGAGAAGCATTAACATTTAGAAACATTTAGAAGCATAAATGTCTGGTAAGCTTAATCAGTTTCCCCAAGGTAGTTGTCAGTAGTTTAGACCTGAAGAGACCTCAAATGAGTTATGAACTAGTGTGTAAGAAAATGTAGCCACCGAACAGCAAGAACGGAAAATATATTTTAAAATTTTAAAGATGTGAATAGTTTAATAAAAGTGGATAATTTAATTTATTGAAAAAAAAATAACTTGCTCACATTATATGTGAGAACTTCAGTATATGCTAATTCCTAGAATCTTTGCTGTTACTTCCAGTTGTTATTACCAGTGACTTTTTTTCTCTTTTCAACCATACCAGGTGTTATAATTACATTGTCTCCTTCTACTGGTTTTCCTGCACTCTTATAAATTGACGGCATGGTGCCCACTCAGTATCTCCAGTGTTCAGCTGAGAGCATCTGGGCCAAGCCTCACTGGAAATGGAGGAGCAGGAGGAGTGACCTGGTCGTTATGTCTAGAGAGCAGTGCTTCTTCGGAATTCAGACTCATTTAAGGATGTGGTGCAAACCAGTTTTTCCCCCAGAAAAACTTCCTCAGGCATTAAAATCTGTATATTTTATGAGGGTTTACTAGGGTATGTGGCCCATAAGAACTCTAGCTTTAGAACATGGGTTAGAATCTTGACTGGGTTTGTACTCTAGGAGTTAGTTGCATTTATGAGGCTAATTGTTTATTTCTTTATTCAATAATATTGAGGAGCAACTTTGTGCCCATTTGTGAGATGTATCTGTGAGCAAGATCTTATGAAGCTTACAACCTAGTGTAGGCAAATAATTATGTAGGTAAATAAAGGAAATTTAGATTAGTACTAAGTACTTGGAGGAAACTAAAATAGTCATGTGACAGTGGTATGGGAGCTTCTCATTGTTTTAGATTGAGAGCTCAGGGACTGGAGACAATTGAGATGATACTTGATGATTTCTTAATCATCAAGACTATAATTTATATGTTTTGGTAATGACTTAAGAAATCAGCCACAATGTTAAATATCAATTTTCTTCTTAATTTCTGTGTGTCATATCTTGAGAGCATCTCTATTGTCCCTTCCTTTGATTCATTCCCATCGCATAAAGCAATGCTACCCTCTGGTGGTAGTGAGTTTAATAGCATGCCAGCTTAATTTGTAAATCTTCAAGGTTGTATGCTATTTAGTGGGGTCTATTTCTGAAAAAATAGATGTCTTCTTTAGATTGCTTTTGAATTTAAAAGTCCCATACAGTTATAATTCATTTGAAAATCTTATTTAGTCTGAAATTCTTTGAATGGTTTTCTGTGTTCAATAATTCTTACACAATTGAAGGAAAGAGTACCTAAGAAATGGGAAGAATTCAACTCTCAGAACGGAAAGCATATTAATGGTACTGGAAAAATCAAGCAGGCAAGGTGAATTGCTAATACAAGTGTGGAAAACCTGGGACTTGAACTTGTTCCTCAAAACATGTATTAAATTAAAGTCCCCATTTCAAAAGGCTTAGTATACCTGAAAACACTTTTTCAGTAGATATGTTTTAAAACAATGTGTTTTGGAATTTGAAAAGACAAATGACAGTATTTAGGAACTGTGAACATTATTAATAGACTTTATATTAAACAATCAATAAATTTCCATGGAAGTATGACTATATTCTTCAGTTTAATATCCTAAATATTTGGTCTGTTTCTTCTAAATACTAATGTCTTAGTATTTTATTTTTGACAATATGGACATTTTCTTACTCTCTTCTAAGTCTTTAATTGAAAGATTCTTTTTGGAGTAATGGTTTTCATCTCTTAGAGATTAATTTGACTTGAATAATTTTTTGTTTTGCTTTTTATTTTAGAAAATTTAACAGATTCGAGAAGATAATAGGTAGTTGACAGTTACAGATAAATTTGACTTATTTTTCTAAATCTAGAAAAAATCTATTGTACTTAGATTCTTACAGTGGTAACTTTTCAAGGCCCTTGATTGGGTAATTTATGTCTGTTTTTTTCTGATAGTCATATCAGTAAAAGTAAATTCATAAAGTTTGATAGTTGAGTCTTTATCAAGTGATGCATACAGGTTTAAATTATTCACATTTTATAGTCTAGTCATTACGTACTGTTTGAGTGCACTTAAAAAGTGCAATTGTGTAATTCAGTTTTGAATGCCCCACAGTGGTTTCATAATCATGGCACAAATCACAATAAGTGGTTTGGAATTATTTTTGACTAAAGATAATATGGGTAGAGAAATTGTTAATTTAACTGAACAGCGTGGATTTTTGTTTACACTTATTTCACTAAAAGGTAGAAAAGATATCTAGCAATTATTTCATCTTTTATAATCTTTTGCCAGATAGGACACTTAAAGCTACATGGCCTCTATTATGCTTAGCTTGAAAATGTTGTGTTTAATCTTTTTATGAAGGTGGACTGGTAAGAATTACAGGGACATCTTTATAAGGTCACGTTATGTACAGGCTTTGAATTGGCAGCATTTTGTTGATAGAATCACCATGTATATAATTATGCCTTGCTTTTATTGCAAAATACAATTTATACATTTATACACACACACTGGATTTCAGTGGAGAAACAAGTAGAGGCTTTCTATATGTAGTACCTGTCATGTTGATATTCTGATAGACTGACTTTTTTTTTAAGTGTGAAAGGGGAAAAAAGTCAGACCTTTACTTGAAGAAGTGCCAGACCTTTAGGAAAAAGAAAATACATATATATATATATATACACGCATGTGTTATTTTGTTGGTTGCTGATCACTGATTCTTATTCTCATGAACTTCCAGTTCGCACCAGCCTCGGCATTGCTCTGCATGTGTTTCATTTTCTCATGACTAGGAAAATTTACTGTGGAAAAAACTAGTTCTCTCAGGGATCAACCAAGGAGTAAAAATCAGTATGATACTTCCTTCATAGACTATGAAACTGAATCACCTTGATTATGTTATTTTAAATGTTAAATATACGTTTTACCTTAATTAAAATAACTGTAAGTTTGACCTTCTTTAACACTTAAAGAATTAAAAAGTGCCAGTCTCAACATATTTATTCTATTTAATATATTTTCTCTCTTTCACTTCGTAAATATGATGGAAAATGTTTGCTGAAGAGTATATTTGAGATTTCTCTTTAATTTTAATTCTTAATGAAAATAAAATCCCCAGTATTAGGATCATTATTGCTTTTCTAACAATGGCTTCAACAGTTATATAAGAGCATCAGAAAGAAACAGAGAGAATGCATAAGATGAACTTTATAAAAGTATGCCATGGCCAGAGATTAACGAGTATCCAAAGTAAAAGATGGCGGGCCGGTTAGTAGGATTCAGAACCCCATAGCTTCTCAGTCAGTCTTGGTGCAAAGCCTTTTCAGTTTAGTGGCTCCTTTTAATGTCGCTTAGAGTGTCTTGCCATTCCCCAAAGGCACGTCGATGAAACAATAGTAATAACTGCCATAGTTTCACTAATATTTATGCTTCCTTGGCATGTTCACTGTTTATCTTGCACTAGCCTATTGCTTTTTATGACAATTTAAATTAATATGATAGAGTCAGCCTTACTTTGTGACATTTTTGTACTTTTATAATAAAAGAAGTATTTCCCTCCATCTGCAGGTGCTGCTGTTTTTTCAAACGAAGGAAAAGGAAAACCATCCAGCGCCACAAATGACTCTGGACACAGACAGATCACGGGGAACTACTTATGTGTTCATCTGCTGTCTTGTGATTAAAATCATCTCCGTAGTGACCACATATATTTTCAAGGACCCACTCTTAGAAACAAAAATGTCATACTTCCATACTTCATTTTGTGGTTGTCTTCATATTTTTTTTTCTAATTTAACTTTTATGGAAGCTTTAAAATTTTGTCAAAACATGAGTGCTTTGCCCATCAGTGAATGGAATGGACCAACGAGGTAGTACTGATGAAAACAGTTCTATAGAACATTTTTCAGAAGCTCTCCTCCTGTCGTAGAAAGCAGTACAGTATCTATAATGTCAACCAGTTATATACCTAATCTGTTTTTTTTTTTATAACTTCTATAGGAGCATAATCAAATAAGAAGTTTCTCCCCAGTGGATAATGCAACAGAGAAAACAGAGTTGCCCAAATATTTAAAAGTTATTCCTTGAGAAGTTCATTTTTGGTGTGACATCTGCATTGATATCAGTATTACTGATGATGGTACTGCTATTCGTGAGTCATATTAACATTCTGTGAAATCATGGTACAGTCACTGCCCAGAGGTACTGAGGCAAAAAGCTCTGTGGGTTCGGCAGATGGTAGTGGTCGAATGAATCACAACGTGGTAAATATGAGCTCTGCTTTTGTTGCACCACTATGTGAAGCGCAGTGTTGCCGAAGTGGCAAAAGCGCTTATTTTATAAAATGCAAAATACTCGTATAATGTAACTTTATGCTTCCAGATAATAATGTATACTCGACAGCAAGAGATGAATACTTTGAGAAATGAGATATGTTGGAGTTTTTTTTTTTTTTTAATACACTAAAAAAAAGAAATAAATGTGAATCTCATTGCAAGGTAAAAGCTGAAGTCTAAGGAGATCCCGCTGAAACCTACTGCTGAATGATTCCATTCTCCCGAAAGCAGAAAACTTTGGATGTGCCATGCAATGGTGTCTGTTTATTAATTATTTGCCCTTTGGTAAAAAAAATCCCCAGCAATAAAAACTGGGTCACTTTGTTGCCCTCTGTGCACATTAGTCTCTTGTATTCAACTTTGCTGGTTCTCTGGAATTTTCCTACTTTTTAGCATAATTTTGATGATTGAAAACTATTTTGGAGAGGATGGGTCAGGTGCTTTGCCTCCGTAGTCATTCGAAGTGCCTGCATATGAACAAAGTAATGGTTTTGTAAAAAAGGAAACCCGTTCCACTTTTCAGCTATCCTTTGTTTTAAGCCATAAAAACACAGGTATACTTTTGTCATATTCTTCCAGCCAGAATTTTCAAGAAGAGTTAAAACAAAAAGACTGGTTAGAAAGATAATTAAATTGTTAAAATCTCATGTTCACCTTTCATTTATAAAATTGTTACTTCTTCCATGCAGCCCTTTCTTTGTCTCTAAGTTTGTGCCTCCAGGCACACTTATTTATTTTTTTGTCTCAAGGTAACATTTAAAATGTGTAATTAAAGTAAATAAATCTACATTTTTGACTTCATTATTGCATTTACAGGGATTTAATTGTACTTTGTAATTTATTTTTCTTATTAGCCAAAAGTTCAATGCATTGTTTTTGATGAATTAGACACCCATATGAATACTGCAAATCGGACATTGTTTATCATTGTTGCTCTTAATCCTATGAATGATCTTTTTTAAGTTCTTGATTTTAAAGGCCTACACTCAGCCTAGAATACATTTGCTGTATAATTTGGTCAACTGTTTCCATCTTATCTATTTGTATACTGTCATGATGTCTTAAATTACAGGAGTCACATACTGAATTGTTATTTTTGTTTGCTTCGTTGCAAGGTAGATGGATGTTTTGGCCATTATAATGTGAAACCACTTCTTTCTTTACAGTATTTGACCAAATTTGTGTGTCTATGATATTTGTAAATACATGCGATATCTGTATTTCTTATAAGCCTATTTAGTTTTATTCTCAGTAGGGTTTTTGGATTGTACAGTGTTTATATGATCTGAACTCCTTATACATAAGAAGGTGTGTATATTAATTCAATTATGGACTTAAAATATTTTAAAAGTATAAATACCCTTATTTGCTGCAAAGACCAGTGTGTAGACATTTGCTTTTTAGCAATATTTTTAAGTGCTCCATTTTAATGCCAAGAAATAAATCTTTTGGCAACACAAACTGGTCAATAATAGGTAATGCAGGTATGTTCAGGTTAAGCCAACAACGTTTTGCATTTTTATGCTTCTTTTCTGTCAACACTAATGTCAACATTGCCTGAATGTCTGAATAATGAAACACACCCCTGTTTAAAAGTATGTAACTGAAAAAGAAATAAAAAATAAAGGTAGTTTTTTTAAACTTGCTCTTTCCCCTTTTCTCTAGTCGTGGGTAAAATAATGCCACTCGCTGATTTGAGATAGGAATTTTTAAAATTCAGTTCATTTAGTTTAGTATATGAGACAAGCAGAGCTAAAAGAATATGCTTTTTGTTTTTGTTTTTGTTTTGCTTTGTTGGAACCCCTTGTAAAGAGCACATCTCAGGAAGTATCTAAGGTCTCTTTAATGCAAGTTAAAAACATTTATTTTACACTTCTATGAAATACTTAATGGAGCAATTAATTAAAACAAATGTCACTAATCAAGGAAAATACACAGAATCATTTTTATTCCTTTTTAGGAATGAAATCATAGTATTATGTTCACAGAAATGAAATTAATCCAATTTCAAGTGAATGACTACCACTGCAGTTGGAGAGCATATATCTGTGACAGTATCTCAAAGTTTATCATCGTTCCGGGTGCTTTAAGGGGTTCACAAAGTGGTATTAATGGTGCTCTGTTTACTGAAAGATGCTACAGGTAAGATATGGCAAAGTAACATACTTTAAGCACCAGCATTTAGAAACAATGGAAAGATCTGAAGATGAAACATAACGGTTAAAAGGCCCTGTCTAGAAATATCTGATTTAAGGTTGAGCTTCAATCAATGGTTGTGTAGTTGCATTAGTCAGCACCCTTTGAATTGCAAGTGATAGAAACTTATCTTGGCTTAAGCAATAGTGGTGTACACATTACCACATTTAGCTCAAAAGTCCAGGGATAAAACTGGCTTCAGACATGCTTGATCCTGGGACAAATTCTGTAATCTGTGTTTATCTCAGTTTTGCTTTCTACCCTGCCGTTTTCACTGTCAGGGAGACTTTTTTTTTATGTGTCATGGTAAAGTAGCCGCTACCCAGCAGCTTCAGACTTCTCTCTTAGCAACCTCAGCCAAAACAAAGGGCAGTTTCTCTCAACAGTTTCAACAAAATCCTGAGACTGGTATCTATTCCTTCACTGGTTCACATGCCCACACCTGAGCCAAGTACTATGGCCAAAGGGATGCTGTTCTCCCACCTTCAGAGGACATGTTAGACTGAGAAAGAGGTGGTGGAGTGTTGCCCAAAAAGAAGGGAGGGTGTTGTTACCAGAAGGAGAGTGAATGGCTAGCGCACAGGCAAAGCCAGTAGATGACTGCTGTCATGATAAGAAAAAACAGCAGAGGTAAACCTAATTGTTTTAAATTAGAAAATATGGAGACTTATTAATCTGAATATATTAGAGATCACATATAGTGAATGAGTACTGCATTTGAAAAATGATTTGGGCTCAGGCAAAAACAGGTCATAAGTACTTTATTTGATGTGTTTTTGTTTAGTAAAGTTTTAAGGTTTTGTAATAGAACTGGATTAGTAGAATCAAAAACTAATTTTTCTTCTAGAGTACAAATAAAATGGAATTATAAAGCTTTGATGTTATTCAGGATAACCAGTTTCTTCTCTGCCTAGCACTCATACAATATCCACGTTATTTTCTTAGGAAGTTTAAAAGACTATGTAAATCATAACCAAAGAAAGGACTACATATAGAAAAATTACCAAGTAGTTTTCCTGGGATATGAAATGGTTTTAGAAAGGACAATTGTCTCTAGGATGTTTACCATACTATGATTTCATTTAAATAGAAAAACACTCCTGCAGTGCTAGAGACTTGGGGTCGGCAAACTTTTTTTTGGTAGAGTTTATACTTTGGGACAAGAGGCAAAACTGAGGCTTTTATATACTCATGTAATGAGAAAGAAAACATTTTCATTAACTTTTTATTGATGGAATTGAAAATATGTATTAACACTTGAGTACAAGTTTTTTGTAATACAGGTCTACTAATGATAAGAATTGAATTTTTTTGAGGGGATAATATTTCACTTAATTGGAATTTGACATTGATTGCAAATGTATATGTGTTATGCTGATCTGTGATATGATTTTACGTATTTCATCTATGAAAATGTCTTCACACAGATACTACTAAATACTCAAGTGTATGATTTTAATTGAGCATATTCATAATTTGGAAGATATCTATAGACTTCCATTAGATATTTATTTGCTTTTTGGCATATGCAGATTACTCACTTTTTATTGAAGGTCAGATGGATATTCTTCAATTGTACAGTTAGATTTCGAAATATAGAAATTTCCTCTGTACCTCCATTGAAATCTGCAAGTACAGCTGGAACTGTAGTTGAGTTGGTAAATACATCCACGGCAAATTTGGGAGAGAAAATGGAGACCTTTCTGCTTATTTTAACTTGATGGCATGGGAAGTGTATAAAGCAGCTTGACATGACTTGTGATTTAAACAGCATTAGTTGTCATCATAACTTTGTTGCAATATAAGTTTCACACATAAGTGTTGTTTTGCCTTAAGAAACATCAAATCTACAGCAAAAGCTAATTTCCAAAGCCGTTCAGTTTTTGTTAATAATAAGTGAGGGTGATTCTCACGTAGAAAAATGTTATTCTTGCTGAGCTGCCATCAAACTGTGTAGCTAGGCAAGTCAGGATGTTCAGTTTTTATTTCTGACATAGGGAAGTTGTGATGATTAAGACCACAACAGTGAATGAAATTCGTCATTGACTTTACTAATTCAATAACAAGACAGATTCAAGTGTCTTCTACAAAATACCTGCTGATGAATAATACGAAGTATGAACATTGACTTTAATCATCTTACATTTTCACAAGTTTTGTAAATTTGTCCAATTAACTTTTTTCTACTCCACACATATTTTTATCACCATCAGTTGTTAACACTCCTTACCAGATTCCACTTCAGTTTGCATTGATTTGGTGTTTCTCGAGCTCTTTAGAAATACTTTTAGTTGTTCCGTGGAGACTTGACAGAGGCTAATTCTTGAGTCACTTCAAACTCACCACTGGCTTCTCTACTAAACAACTAGAAATAACCTAGAAATAAAAGGCCTTGCAAGCCAAGAGGCAACAAGCGTTTAGTGAGATCAAAGAGAATAGCTAATCGAGAATTATTAATTCATGCAGAAGCCTGAATAGCGTTCTGATTAAGAGACAAAGGCAATATGTACTTATTTATGAGAAAAGGAAGGGGAACAATTACATCAATAGAAGGAAGGCATTTCTGTTGGTGCAAATAACAGTGATGTTAATTCTAAACAATGTTTTCAAATTTCAGTCCAGTGGTCATAATAACTACTTTTTTGTTACCTTTGCAAAATTTTTTGGGACACAAGTTTGCTTAGGCCCAGTCCAAAGGTTGTTTTGCCCTGTTTTAATATTCCAAAGATTTGAGGCATAAGATGTGAAAGGCAGTTCCTCTGGCATGGCAGATCTGGCTCCATTTTAAAATGGCTCTGTTTATTTTGTTGTCTACATTTATGTCTATTGACTCATCAAAAACGAAGGAAAATTACTTGAAATCCTTTGCCTTGTTTTTTAGTTGACTATTAGTGTCTTCAAGTCTTCAAGTAACTGTCCTTGTTAAAAAGCTAGTAATCTTAAATTTATTTTCTCTGGACATATTTTCTGGCTTCTGCAACCAAATGCAATTTAATTAACTTTAGCTCACCATCAGTAAATAGCTTTCTTGGCTAACATGAGCCACTTGGAAACTAATTTTGGTTGCACTCTTGTTCCCATCTTTTTGTATATGAATAAATTCCATGTGATTACATAATTCTAAATTTTCTGATAGTTCTGACTGTTGCTTTTCTATGAGTTAGGTATATTGTGATGAGTGCTTAGTGTAGTAATGTCAAAATAAATTGTAATCTTTTAACACGACTGAAGTGTCATTGCATAATAAACACGATGCTTTGCCGTATAATTGTATAACACAATATCCATATTTCACTGTGCTTTAAAAGCACAACCCTCAAAGTTCCTCCTCCCTTTTTCTTTTTACAAGATTAGTATGCATTAGTAATAAAAAAATGTTAGTAAAAAAAATGTATGGCAATATGTGTGGCACTTGAAATGCTGTTGAATTATGACTGCATCACTGAGATTTGTAGTGTGTTGAACAGCAGTGTGAAGCAATGGGAGTGCCACATACGGTCTCTGTCATAACTATTCAACTCTGCCTTTGTAGCGTGAAAGCAGCCATAGACAATATGTAAATGAATGAATGTGGCTGTGCTCCAATAAAATTTCCTTTATGGACACTGAAATTTGAATTTCATATAATTTTTATGTGTCATGAAATAGTCTTTTGTTTTGTTTTTTTTTAACCATTAAAAAATGTAAATATCATTCTTAGCATGTGAGCCAAATGAAAACGAGATGGGCTGGATTTGACTGGCAGACTAGTTTGCCCGCCTCTTTTCTAGAGCACATTAGAAAGAGGTAGATGTTTGAAGTAAATTATTTTTTTACTTAATTGAGTGGTACTACCCCAAAGTTAACCTTTCTTTGAGAAAAGGAAGGGCCATTTTGAAATAGCAGTAAGAACTGTGATAACGTTAAAGAAGATGCACCACAGCACATATGGGAGCCGGAAATAAAACAAATGTGAGTCCGGTTCTCATGTGAACTTAGGTGCTGAAACAGTGCGTGGTCTTGGAAAGGGCATGAATTTAGGTATCAGACAAGTTTATTTGGTTCTCAGCTTTTTAGCTTGTGAGGACTGGCAAGTTATCTGACTTCGCTGCATCAGTTTCCTTGCCTCATATGGGAAGTAATGCCTTCTTTGCAGCATGGCTCCGGGGATTAACAATAATATTTATACTAGCTCTTAGTGCAAGGCACCTTCACCATTACTCTCATAATAAAGTTCAGTTTGAAACTGAGCAATGCCTTATTGCTTATGCAGAGGGTATGCTTCTGCTTTTTGAGACAAAAATGTCATCTTAGATCGAAGCCATTATTCCTGTTTAAAAATATTTCCATCTTAATTCTATCGCATTGCAAGATTAGCTATCTTGTCTTACTTAGTGACATTGATAAATTCAAAATCATTAATTCTATATCCTTATTGATAAAAATGACAGAGGAGAGCCAGGGCAAAAC